AACTGCACCAGTCTACATTTAATTTGTGCTTCAAATTCATTTTACGAGCGTCAAAACCGGGTTTTCATCGTTTGCTCACCGCATCAAAGATTTCTTTGAAAACTGGATGAAAACCTAAAATGGACGAAGCGTTGACCGGTGCAAAAAATGTAAATTTTTTTAAATATGAAAAATTTCTCGATCGTGAACGAACAAAAATGAAACGCACCAACAAAATTCAGTGGAAAACTGAAGAGAGTGACCCAGCAACAGGAGAAAAAACTTGAGTTAAAAAAGACATTTTCGTGAAACCAGTTGCGTCTATTCTTTGGAACAATTTATTTGCCAAGATAATTCGTGTGTATTTTCATATTGTGTTCGTGAGAATTTCTTTTCCATCTCCCATTCTCTCTTGTCATCATTGCTTTTGTGTGTCGCTGTCATTCAATGTTATAAGAATGCTGATTGCGTTCTGTATTCGCCCGTTGCGCTTCTTTGGCTCCCGAACAAATCAACACGTGCACACCGAATTGAATGAATCGAGTAGCGAAAAAGTCGGCAGCAGCAGTGCACACAAAGTGATTTGTTTGTAAATTTTTTATATACAAAAACTGTTCATTCTGAATTGCAAGTACTTGAACGGAAAAAGGATGAACAAAAAAAATGTAATAAAGAAAATGAGAAGCAAAAATGTTTGCTTGAAAAATATAAATTTGATCTACATTTATGAATTTTAGTTTGCGCTATTTTCAGGAGTGAATTTGAAATCTAAATCAATGCAGTCATTCATTTTGGAACGAAAAAGCTGGTAGATTAAAAAAAAGGTTTGAAAAAAAAACATCCAAAACCTTCTGATTACATCCTATTTTCACAAAGCCGTGGACTAATTGAGGCTGTGAGAATGAAAATAGCGATACAGGAATGAACATTCTGAAGCGCACCAAGAAAAAAAAATTCGCAAAAGTGAATCATGAGTTCTGAATACGCAAAAGTGAACCATGAACCTCCTATGCTGCCCATGTAAATTCATGTTTCACTTTTGTATATTCAGAACTCATGATTCATTTTTTGCGAATTTTTTTTCTTGATGCGTTTCAGAATGTTTATTCCTGTATTGCCATTTTCATTCTCACAGCCTCAATTCACCGAAAAAGATGCAATTTAATGCCTTAACAACTTAATTTTCACGTTTTTCTCAGAAATTACCATTGAATGTGTGAAAAGTTTGGACAAAATCGCTGCAAAACCCAAAACAAAAAAACCATTCGCACAAAACCAGAAATTTCAAAAGAAAAATTCGCTGCTTTTGCTACGCTCGCCGAACAGCTATTTAGCTCGAGTCAACTGTATTTTCATTTGCTCCACTTCGGTGGAATTATCCATAAAATCGTGTCTGTCGTTAAATAAGCAATTAAATTGCGGGCGAATGTGAATGAGACATGACCTTTTTCCCGATTGGAGGTTTTGCTCTCAACGATGGCAAAAAGCCGTACAAAAAGAGCGCACAAGAAAATTATTTTCGCTTGTTAATTAGCCTTCCGTGGCATTACGTGTTTGGCGTCAAAATCTCACACTTGTTCGTTCACGCAAGAAGCGTTTATTTCGGTCGCTTGCTCTCAAATGAAAATTTATTCATTGCGTGGTCGAAATTTGTAACAAAAATCCGATACCAATAAGGAAGACGCTTTTTCTGTGCAGTCTTTGGAGCAAAACAAATTGAAATGCTTATTCTATGTGTCATTCAATAAATCGAGATTCTCGCATTGTGGATGTGTTCTGTTTTTTCCATCTCATTCGAATCGATAATAATAACTTCGCAAAGGGCATTTGCATGATTTTTTGCGGTGCACATCTTTCTGTAATATCTCAGTTGAGTGCGTCTCAAAAGCTTTGCTCGCAAACCGAGAGTTTGGATTCGCTTCGTTCCGGATCACGACACATAAATATATCACAACGAGTGAGAATCGTATTTTTCTGTTTCCAACGGGGATCACCTAATGCTCAAGGTGAGAGCGCTTTGAAGTAGAAAAAAAGATGAACGAACCGAGTTTCGGTTCACTCAATTTAACAACATTGAATCCATTTGAAACAAAGATTCGCATCAACATACATATATTGAGAGTTGGTTAAAAACTAGAACGTCAAGCGCTAAGGAAATGTCCAGAAACAGATTTCGCCTTCAATTACTTGTCTTCGAACAAATTATCATTCCAATTGCCAATGAAATTTCTACCATTTTCCAATGAAATGGTTCAGTTCTGGAGCGTTGCTTTGCCATACTTGACTTTCGATGACACTTGCTGCGTGTTTATTTCACTAACGATGTGCATTTGCAGTCAGTGAAGTGAACGTAAATGTTCGTTTCATCGCACAATGCATTCATCCGGCCAACGGGAATACTGCACGACGAAACAGATATTTTTTGTTGCAGTTGACACAAAGTCATCGATTGAGTTGATCATTTAAAAGCACCGAATTGAAATGTGCGATGATAAATATGCAACAAAGAGCTAATGTATAGAAGAAAGAGCCAAGAACCCGAAAAATTTGCATAATGCTCACAACTGACACATACCCGCACACGAGCTATGTATTTCTCCAGAGTCAGACGAATGGACCGACAAATGCAGTCAAAAGGTGAGTTCGAGCACCGAATTAAATAGAAAAGAAGACGATTCCGTCACATGGGACGCAGCATACATTCGCTCACATTGATATATGGACAAATTTACTCTGTTTATGGGAGCGACCAGAGATCACACAGGATGTCCGCCAACAGTATCACTATCACACAACGCCAAAAGCTACGACCGAGCCCAAAATGCACTCGACTTCAATCGAGCACGTTTCCCATTGACTTTTCCCCCAACTAGCAAGCTCTCTATCTATACTTTTCGTTCTCGTTTCTATTTCGTTCTATTCACTTTTTTTTTCTTTTTAACATTCTGTTCCTCTACCTATCAGCTAAAAGTAAGCAATGGCTTTGCATAAAAATTGAAATTGTGTGCAATGTTCAGGGGAATCGCTCTCTCTCTCTCTCTCTCTCTTTCTTTCTATCGCTCTCTCTGTATTTGTTCAGTCAAGCGAATAAGTTGCAAATTTACTTTGATTCGATACATGTTTCACTCGATTTATACACTTTTCTTTTTTCTTCATCCGCTCATTCGTTGTGTCGGTTGAAATGACGCGATATGCATTCACATTCGATTTGGAATGAAGCTGCAACAGCAGCTGAAGACACTTTTCCACTAAACAAATGCATTGCAATCGAAACACAAGGCAACCTGATTTGCATGCATCCTCGAAGTTGAAAATAAGACACTGGCGACAAATTCAATGCAAATTACAACCAAATAATGAAAAATGCTAATTCGAAAATTTATTCGAAACACATCAAAGTTCATCGACTTGATATGTGTTTCGTAGTACGACTTGGAATCTCTAAATGGTTTGATTTACGTAACTTTCTAGAAATTTTCCAATGAAAAGAAAAAACCGAAATGATCTCGTAAAAATGCCAGCTTTCAATCAATTTGTTTTCGAAATTTAGCTCGATTCGAAGTTAATTCAATGAATTGACATTCTTTTGAATGAACGGACAAACTTTTTTCCGGAAGGAAATAGCTACGATAATTTGTCCCATCCATCAATTTCCATTGAGAAGTTTCATCAAATGATTTTGATTGAACTCGGAAAAACTTGTGAAAACTCACTTCCGTCACATGCCAATTCGATTTAGCTTCATTTCTTCTGCGATTCCGATTTCAACCGTTGACCTTATTTTGATGCACTTTCTTCGCAAAACAGCCAATGTACAATTGAAAAGTCGTCAAATTACTTCACTCCAAAGTTATATTTTACACATTTTGTAGAATGTTTCAATTCTTTCTAATGTTCAAGCCTCGAATGTGCGTTTGAATAAATAAATGAGAGAAAAGTACAAATTGGTTACTCTTTCTCTCTCTCTCTTTCGCTTTCCGAACTATCATGCAAAATGTTTTTCTGAAGAAATTCACAACTAAACGTGAAAATTCGAAAGTAAAATGATAAATACATTCTCTTAACATTCTCATTCTGGTAATATTCGAGAAAAATTTGGAGTATTAATGGGAATAGCACATGGAGTGTAAAATGTAAATATAGACTCCCAAAAACTATGTACTACATAAGCAATGAGTAAACAATGTTTATTAATTTAGCACAGTTTTGCACATTTTACTCGCATATTGCTTGAGAGTGAATCCCCGATTCGGTTGCGCCATCATGCCGTCATAAATTGTTTTAACCATCGAAAACTGCATATTGGATTTCCCGGATATGCGTGCTAGATCTAGATTCAATAGAGTTATACTTGCATGTGCGAAGATTTGGCAGAGGCTAGCGATTTGGGAGCCAGGTCCGAATAGGGAATTTAAACAAACAAATAATTTTCCGAATATTATTATTGGATTTGAATAAAATCAGTAAAAAAATCAAATATTGTGTTTAATAAATTACTATCTCAAATATTCGAACAAAATATCAAAATCTTCCGATTTTCTTCACATCTGACTCATAACCGGTTCGAAAATCCTTCGTTCATTCCGATCACCATAAAAAAAGTTAGGTATTTTTCGGAAAAGTTTGGCAAATAAATTTCATCGATTGGCACATATTCGCTGAGTTTCAATGTGTTATTTTGTTTTCGTTAACGATGCTTCTTTTCTGGCCGACAAAAAAGTTGGAGAGTATAAAATTTCGTGCGGCGAAAAACATCCGAAACATAAAATAAATTACGTTCGAAAAGATCATTGAACAGAGAGAACAAACGGATATAAATTAAATTTAGACACTCGATGTGTTGAGCATTTATAATTCACAATTCACATGTGAGCACCGAATGGGCAATGTGTCATAGTCGCGAGAAACGATGCATCGTGTGTGCTCGCTCGCTCAAGCTGTATGTGTATCCGTAATATCGTAAAATCTGTGTAGTCTCGACATTGGACTTGAATAATTGAACGGTCGGTTGTCGTTTCTGTTTGATTCGTTTTTATGTGAGTGTTAATGCATTGATTTGAAGACGCTAAGTAATCACTTTGCTTTGATTTTGTGTCGCAGTATGATTTTTGACATCGTCCACGGCACAGCAACAGATTATTGTGGCGGCGGCTCGGCACTGAGTGAATTCTAAAGGACACTATTAAAATAGAATAAAATTGTTCGTGCGATGGGCAAGGGCAAAGGAACGAATCAGAGTGGTGGCAATCCCAACCATGCACCACCAGAGGTACGTCACACTTTATTCATTATTTACACCTTTTTCGATCATTAATTAAGTCATTTTTGAGAATCATATTTCAACTTGCAAAAATTGGTAGTGATTTTGAGTCTCCATTTCGAAGGTTTATTATGAATTTCAAGTATTCTTCGGTGAATCATTAAAAATTCGGCTGAAGTGTTGTTATAAATAAAAAATTTATTGTGCTCAATTACGTTGAGAGAAAAGAGGAAATACAAAGGGGGAAATTAAGACAAGTTTGAGAATAGAAAGAAAAAAAGAAGTAAATGAGTAAAAAACACTTTATCAACATTCGAAACATGATGAAAACTACGAATAAAAGTCCTTTAAAGTCATTAAATAAACACTTTGGAATACGAGAAACGCTAAGAAAAATAGCTGTTTCTATAAGAACCATTGTCTCTGAACAAAAATCACCCTATCAAATTTCATAATAAACTAGCCCAAAATCAAAGCTCAAATAGACCGAAATAGCTCTAAGAGGTCTTGAATTACTTTATTTTGTACAGAAAAGTGGGAAGGGAAACCAGGGCAAAGGCAATCAAAATAAAGGAGGCAGTGGAGGTAACAAAAGCAGTGGCGGAGGCGGAGGCGGAGGTGGAGGTGGAAAGAAAGGTTTCTTTTTAAAGCATTTGATTTATAAATGATGTTGTTCTGAAAATCTTGTGTATTTTGTATTTTTCAGGTGGCAAAAAATGATTCACATTAATCTCTGGCTCTGATTTTGCTGGCAATCCCGTGTTATATACATAAGCGGATTTTAAAAAAATGCATTAAACTGTTTCAAAAATTTATTAATAAAACGAGTGTACCGAAGAAAAAAGCGGAAATTCGTAAGCGTTTCTATTTAAGAGGGATCTCGAATAATGAATGAATGTGAGTGCCAAGCACAAGTAAAAAAAACTTGCTCTCACAAACTTTATGATATGAAATTAATGAATTGTATAAGCAAAGATTCAGTTCAACAACAGCTGTTAATAAACTTGAAAGTTTAGTAAATATACAAACCGAGCCTATTCATTCTGGAAAAAATATGATTTGCGCCATCTGTTGACCAAATCACGTTAAAGTTGGTGTTGTGTTGTGAAGCAAATGTCAGAAAGTATTCAATGCTTGACGTCAGTACCAAAACATTCAAGCTGTCACAGTTTCTATATAGAAAAAAATCAATTGATTCATTTTGCACTCAAGTTATCACTTTTTCATCAAAGAATGTAATTTTTCTAAGTTTCTGTTTTATTTCATTGAAAAAAAAAAAATCAAATGAAAAGGTCTCATTATTCAAATTAAAACTCGAATTCAGTATATTTGATTGAAAATGCGTTATTTTTATTGACAAGTTAACAAATTGGAACAAAAGACGCAAAAAACAGTATCGTCAAACAGTTCATGGTCAAATTGAACACATCGAAAAAAAAGTGTGAAAAACTGAAAACATGAATCCGAATTTAAAGCAAATAATATCTCTAGTTTTAGTATTGACGATTCGTAAAATTTGTGCTAGTGATATTACGTCGCAAGCATTTGGTGCGATAAATGATACAATTGTGTCGGCCTTTGGTGACTTCAACTCAGACGAATTAACAGATGTATTTGTTAGATCGACTGATGGTCGAACGGTGGAAATTTTACTGGCTTCAGAACAGGAACCACTTTTGCGTCGTTCACCAAACACAAAATGTGTTTTCAAAGAATTAAGCATTACGAGCATTGTGCCTGGAGATTTCGATGGCGATGCATTTATGGATTTACTAATAACATCAAAACCGAAACCAAAGCCAAATGCGACTGATGAAAATCCACATTTGCTTGACGTTTACATTAACTGGGGTGGATCTGATGTATTGAACTGTACCGATGAAAGTGCTGGCCCATTATTCCAAATGATTGGCGAGCCGGTTGCTTTGGACTACAATAGTGATATGATTATCGATTTGTTTGGAGTACACGCGAATGGCAGCCGTGTCTTTTGGCTATTCAACGAAACACGTCAAACTCCAGAAGAAGTACTGATGATTTTGCCTGCCGACAAAAATCTGTCACAATTACTAGTGCCTCATTCACACGCATATTTGGATCTAAACAATGACTTCAAAGCAGATCTATTTTTGACCACCGAAAGTGGATTTGAAATTTGGCTTGGAGCAGGAAACAAAGGTTTCACTTACTTTGGTCATCGCCAGCCAACAACCATTAAAAATTCCGTCTATGGACAATCAATTTTCTTGGACATTGAACTCAACGGAAATATGGCTCAAGTTCTGCCTTATTGCTCAGATAAAACATGTCGTTCATCGACGATCTTTGCCTATGTGAATGGCGACTATTTCGATTTAGGAATTGACTTCAAAGATGATAGTAACCAAATGTGGCAATTTGTCCCACCAGACTCGAATCAAAAGAGTATTTATCTTTTTTAATCATTTTCATTGATGTCATCACTTTGTTATTATTTCTCGTTAATTTTATATTTTCTTTTGTCAATTTCTCATAGGTGTTTATCAGGACACAATCACATTAAGAGGAGGCGATTTCAATTTGGACGGCTATCCTGACCTGCTTGTGACATTGCAATTAATGACAACAGGAATCCGACAAACCTTTTTAATGGAAAACATCGAATGCACCCACTGCACTGACAATCAACTCACGAGATCGTTCGCCATTCGATGGAAGGCCTTTGCTCCATACTCCAACGGGACGGTTGTTGGAGCATTTTACGATTTTTATCAGGTGTGTAACTATTCATTTTTATTTTTATCACAGCTCAACTACTATAAGAAAACTCTCTTTTTCTTCTGTTTCAGGATGGTATTCTCGATGTAATTTTTGTGAAACAGCAATCGAATGGAGTTTCTCGTCCAGTTGCGTTTCGTAACACGCTCGACTACGATGCGAATTTCGTTAAAGTGATGGTATTAACTGGTCTCACTAACAAACTCATGCCATCCAAGAAGACAACATTGGGTCGTAAACAGCGAACGTATGGATCCAATTTGCCCGGTCCTCGAATTGCATATCAAACAACTCGACCGGATGGTGCCCTACAAGCGAGTACATCAGCGCAAATACCTCAATCCGGATATTTTGCACTGCAATTGCCATATACTGTTTTAGGTTTAGGTCGAACAGCGAATTTTGTTGATTCACTATCGGTTGGTTTGTCTGGACGCAACCGTACATGGACACTCATCATACCAAATTCGCAAATGGTCGTTGTTCCACTACCGATAACAAATCCCAGTCGTTGGAAAGCCCAACTCTTTATCACGCCAAGCAAATTGATTTTGATGAGTGTCATCTCACTCGGTGCAACGTGCGCCGTTATCACACTCATCATTTTGGTGTTGCACATTAAAGAACGTCGACAAGATCGATTGGAGAAACTGCAAGAAAACCAACCACTTCATTTTGATGCTATGTAGCTACACGCCCCATACGCTTCCAATTGTGATGATCCCTACTATAATAATTATTAAAATCTCAAATTTAATTGTTTTTTAAGCATACAAATAATAAACAAATATATTTATTCGTATAATCTTTCACAATAATTGACTTTTGAAGATTTTCATTTGTTTCCCTTTGGAATTCATTTCAATCTAAAAGACGCAATGATTTTGACTCATTGAAGCTTTCGTTCAGTCTTCAAAACAAAATGTGTCAATGCAATCAGAATTCAACGAAGCGCAGCAAATGCATTTGAATTTGACAGTTAGAGGTTTAGTGCAATGCAACAAAAAATCGGACCTCATTCTTCACAAACATTGAATTCCAATTTCTGTTTATTTCATTTGATAATTCTTAAATTAAATTATTAAATTATTAAAATTCTCAGACCAAATCAACTGGTATTAGTTGAGTTTCCAGAACTTAACTACACAATTGACGCATAGGGTGGCAGCATCAAGAAAATTCAAATTGTCGCGCTGTTTCGTTTGGAAAAAAATTCCGATATTACATTGATTGGCCTATTGAAATTGAGGGCGCTCGCGTCGCTAAAGTTGTCATTTAAGTTGTTTTCGGTCTTGCTGCCATCCGATGAATTGTCGTTTATGTATGCATATGTAATTGTGACATATATTTTATCAGAAAAAAAAATGGGAAATCAATTGGAATGAACACTTGTCAAATAATTGTAAAAAAAATTGATATTCAAACGTAATAAGTGAAAGTCTTGTATTATACTGCTAAAAGAATAGGAAGCAAGTTAAAAATGGGAAAGAATAGGGCCAAGAAAAGCAGAAAGCGACAGAAAAGGCCAGCTAATAAAAATAAAAAAGTTCCACCAAGTGACAATCCCAATAAAATGGCTAAATTTAAAACACAATCCAAAGGCCGAAAGACAAGTAAAATACCATTCCAATTTTATAACAAATCCAAAAATAGTTGGTAGTTTTTTGAGGAAATGTTACAAATATTTCTAATATTTTGATCCGAATATTAAACTTTCAATCCATTTGAGGCTTTCAATATTTTTATCATTGCAGTTAAAAATCGCATCCCAAAACCTTCAATGCAAAGTCGCATCGAAATCGTGAAAGCAACAGGCAAAACATTGGCTGAAAATCTGAAGAATATTGTTGATACTACAGCTATTTCATTATTATCAGTTATATCCAAAAATATCATTCCCGAAAGTCGTGACGATAAAATACAATCAACGAAATCTATTCAGAGCGGAATTTCGACTGAGTCGACTTGTTCAAAAGCAAAGAGACAATGAGAGTGTAAAAGAAGCCAACAATTTAAATTGATCTTTCTCTGTTGTCAAAAATTGATCTATTTGACAATTTTCAGTGAACATTAAATTTGACATTTGAATTTAATACATTCGGCCTTTGTCTAAAAAATTAATCTACTACGTCATTGGATATCGTTCTCTCAAATTGCCACTAGACATTTTAGCTCCACTTAGATAAAAGGTGTGTATTGAACGAAACTACGCTCGTTCCATGGGAAAGTATTTGTAGTTCTTCATTTATGTTAAAGCTAAGACAAAGCACATGAACTGCTTGAGTGAAAATATTCAAATGGAGCTTGGCAATGGAGGCGACAGATTTTATTTCTATATTTTTACAAAAAATGAGCTTTAGAAAATTTTAAAAATAAACCAAATACCGCAAGGTATTATAATATCTTAAATTTATTGTTACACCTAATAATTATTAGTTTTTAAATGTTTATTGTTGCTGTTGTAGGACGATGGTTTGGACATTTTCATCTCTGTTTCAAGCGACTCTCAAGTGTAGTGTAAATAAAGAAGTGGAAGTGTCTTTGTCGGAAAATGATTGGAAAACAGATTGTTCTATTTCAAGTAGACTATAGTCGTTTAAAGATGATGCTTTAAACATTTTGAAAGTGGAAAATAATGGGCTTTTTGAGTTCATGACTAACCCTGGTAAAGAGATTTGAGGAATTTTGAAAAGGTGTAAGAAAAGTTTATATTTTCTGGAAAAAATTGGAGTGGAGGGAGATTGAGTTTTCAGTTTATTCACAGTGTCTTGAAACGTGATCGTGTTTAAATTTAACAATTCTAAAACTTTTCCTGTGGTCACTGCTAATAATTTTAATTAAGTACTACATGGATCAACGAAAGATAGAGAGAGACCCATTAACTAAAATGTTGCATTCGATTTTCCATACACAAACAACGAGTGCCCATTATGCATATTGACATTGTGTCGTTTGATCGTTTCTCTGTGCTTGAAAATAAGTTGTTTTCATTCGGCTACAGAGGAATCATATGTGAGAAAGAGCGTGAATATGGATACATAAGTGGATTGGGATAATGCGGTTTTTGCGTTTATGTGACTCGATTCAATTGACTCGTTTATTTAGTATGCAGCACTTGATGTCGCACTATTTTCTGGTCGTCAAGTGTTTATGACGATGATTTTTGTGCACTGTGAGCGATTTTCTTTTTGTCGTCTCTGTGTTTATCATCCACTTTGGTTTTGCCAAACAACACATTAACTAACGAAAACACGACAACGACGCGATAGAGAGAGGCGAACTGATGCCCGTAGGGTTCGCACAAACAGAGACATACATATGCGCGCGCTCCCAATGCTGGATGCAATGCACACGCTTTCAAAATACCAGCCATTTACATTATCTTATCACAAGACTATTTTGTTTAAGTGGATTTCGGATGGGTGTTGTTATTTTTTCCCATTCACTTGTCGCACCAAAATGAAATTTCAACAAGACATTTTTATCTTTGACAATTTTTTCCTACTTGAACATAATGAGAACGTTAATCTCAGAATGTCTTGTTTGAATTTACCGACGATGTGTGCTTCAAAAATGAATGTGGTTAATTTTTTTAGAAATTTATTTTTAAAAAATTCGTATAATAATTTAATTCTACTCTTATTCTCGATGAAACTTCATAGGAACCAAAAAAGGTTGATATACATATACTCCATCTCTGTTGTGAACATTCATTGGTCAACGAATATTTTGCTTCGAAACTAACGAAAAAAATTTCGTTTTTTTTCTCACTCTTTTACTTGAAACTTTTTTTTTCCCATCTCTTATTTATTCATATGAATTTTGATGAAGAAAAAAACGCTAATTCGGCGCGAAAATGCTCGTGTCAGTCGTTGGCAGCGTATTATTTAGTGAATGTGTGGTATTTCATTCACCAGGAGATTCATACAACCAAAAAAATTGTTCAAATAAATTCGCAAGCGAATGAAAGTGAGCTGTTGTTATGCGGCTATCGACGAAAAGTAGTCCTAAAATTCAATGTGCGTGTTGCGAAAATAATATTCTATTTGAATTTTTGATTGTGTTAATGAATATGTGTGTGCGAGTGCATGTGCCAACGATTTTGGTCGATTTCAGTCATGTTGATGTGTGGTTTAATCGGTAGAATGGCTCATGTTTGATTGACTTGATTGTTGAGCGACATGCGTGTACCAGAAATATCACAAATCACATGCAATGCAAGCGAAAGGAAAAATGGCGTTCACTGCATGCAGCCGCGTCGTCATAACAATGGCAAATTGGGCAAATACCGTTGCATTTGTCAATCGACGAGAGTGTTGTTTACCCATAAATTTGGGAATTTTCAGGTTAACCCTTTGATGCACAATTTTTTGTTTTTGAATCGTTTTGATATATGTTTTGTGCCACGATAAATAGAGAAAAACCTCATACTTAGATTTTTGAAAAATTGCGTATTTGTCGAGAAAATCGGAAAAGAGTCAAAAGTGTCAAATCACTATAAAAGCTTGAAAAAATTAATTTGTATAAAACTAATGATGCAGAAAGTTAAATTGATGTGTTTTGGTCCTACGAGTCCTAATTTGACAATTGAAAAGAATCAACAAAACCACAAGATAAGAGGAGGAAAAATGTGGAATTCTGCTATAATTTCGCATTTTTTTTACAGCAGTACATGAACAGAAAAAACTTTCCATTCAGCCAGCCGATTGTAGCCTGTAAAGTATCAAATGAAAGCTAGTTCATTTCCCTACATTTGTTTCCAAACAAGAATGTAAAAATATTCAGTGGTTTCATAGCTATAGCGTCTGGCGTATCTGGTTACTTTAGGAACCGAAATGTGATAAAGGGTTAAACGATGCTGTTTTTTCTGCAACCCTCATGCAATTTGATTCAAATGATGTGGTTTACTTTAGACAGAATGTTTGATGAACAAATTTATCATGGAATTTTATGGACTACGCATTCGAATCGTATTGAATTTTTAACTGGCGAAATGATGTGAAATTCTATTTCACAAAACGAAAATCCCTGGATTATTATAGAGAAGCCTAGCGCAGTACAACAAACGTTATGGTCTATGGAAAGCTATAACATGAGCTTGAAGTCAGTTCTAATGATCAATACTGCATCAAAGACTTGCATTCTAAGGACATTTTTGAAATTTTCTATTTAGCAACGATGCCACGTAACATCATATCTTTGGATATATGCTTTGATTTCTTTCTAAATATACTGTGGAAGAGGAGTTGATTCCGATAGTTTTATATTTCATAAAGAAAATTTCTGAAGTGCAAATGGGGGAGAACTGAAATATATGAGTATGAAAACAAATTTCCGTAGAGAGAATAAACGAACGAGAAGTTTAAAGTTATGTTTAAATGTATGTGCTACAACATTTCTCTATGTCGATCACTTTTTTTCCATGAAAAAAAGTACACCCTGTTCTAGCTTCAGCTAGATATCTTAAAGAATTGAGAACTCGTAAGTGTGAATCTGCACATTATGAACCATACAATTTTCATGAGAGCATAATAATGCGGAATGAACTATGAAATCTCGGTTAAATCGTGTTCTACTTTTCAAAAAAATATCACATCTTCCTTTTTTCTATTTATCTTCATTTAAGAAATACACAAAACAATCATAAAATCAATTTTAACGATGTTTTACAAACCGATTCATTGAATATTTTTGCTGGTTTCGATTTGAAACTTAACAGGATATCTTCAATGTGAAAAACCATATAAACCCCAAAAAAGGCTCGTTTTGCCGAGGTGATGACTTTCAAACAGAGCTGGACAGAGCCTTTCAAAACGTGAGAAAATTCATTTTATTGTAATAAGAGTATATACTCTTTAGTGAAGAATTTTTATACATTTTCAATGTGAACACATCAACAGGCAATATGTGTTTAGAAAAGAAATTTTACATTATTAATGTTCATTTAATAATGACGTAACATCAAAAGGAAAAATAAAAATGTGGCGCTTCAATAATAAAACGTCAATGAACTTAGCGAATGGATGGATGAATTGTGTCATTTTTTCAGACCGAACTCTTAAGCAAACATATTAAATCACATGCTAAAATCATGAAATTACATCACAAATTCAAACAACACGGCAAAATCTGAATCAATTGAAACTTTTTTGAAGTATTTTAATATTTTGTTATTTTCTCTTTTCATAAAATCCAAGCGTTGCTGTCTATTACACAATCATTTTTTCGACGAAGTGTTTTTACATCAAACACTGTCATGCGAACGCAAACACATGCATCGTATTAATTGTAATTCATTTGGCACACAAGACTACCACCCCTCGAAAAAAAATGTCATCGTATTAATGCGATTGTCGACAGTGTGAAACGAAGTGCAAAAAATCCATGACAAATGAATTCGAATATACGAGTGATGCATGTATGCGCGTTGCGGGCTTGAGCTACATGTCAACAAAACGTCTCCACGCTGTCATGTTTCATTTTGTTTATTCGGAAACTTTGGTACACAAAAAGCATAAGACAACATCGTGATTTACAACGTCGAAAAAACGAAGCAATTAAATACATTTTCCATGAAAGATTTGAGCGAGTGAAAAAACGTTTTTGTTTTGACGAGAAATTTGCCACGGTTGTTAGACAATTACAGTGTCACTCTCAAGTGAGAAACGGAAGCGAGCATTTGGCATTTTCAATTAAAATGAATTTCAGGCTAAAAATGGAATGACTTTTGCGAAACTAAAAATAGAAGAATGAAAATTACTCCTATTTAATATTCAATTTTTATTTGCCTCCAATTCAACCGCATGAAAAATTACAATGTTTAGCGATTTGATTGGTTGCTTATGAAGCTTTCATGACTATGTCCAGAACGTGCTCTCGACGGCTTACATTGGTCGAAAATGAGAAGAGCCTAAAGAAATTGGAGCCTGTCTTCCATAGTTTGAAAAACGAAGAAATTTTAAGACTCACAAAAATTGAACTGCACCTGGAAGAAATGTATTTCGAAATTTCAAACGGTATCGACACTGGAAATGTTGGTAAATTCATCGAAAACCTTCAAAACTTGAGAAAGATACATATTTTCACTTGGTGGATAAAAGTGTGGCATGATACTGGATGGAATGGAAAACTACAAACAACTTAGAAAATTAGATTTGAAAATGTCGGATAAAAATTCAACGAAGATGATTACACTGTAGTAACATTTGAGGCTTTTGAAATGTAATTGTTATAAGTGATGTTAGAAAAATGGTTGAAAATGGCCTCTTACGACATTTTTGTCTTAGACAACTACTATTTTTTCGTCGAAAAAATATGGGAACACTTGACCACCGGTTTTCCCACAAATTTGGTCTAAAATCGACATTTCCTCATAAAATAATCGATCGAATGAAAGATTGATACAAAGTCACACTTATGGCATAGAAAACACTCATACAATGACCTACTATGGGATTATATCCACCCAATTTCTGACAAAAATCGTTTTATAGTTTCATTTGACACAAGTTTATATGGTTTTAGTGTCGAAATATACGATTATTTCCTAGGGGTAATTCCCTATTCGCGAATGTCATTGCTATTCGCAGAATAAGAGGCATTTGTGCCTGTTTCGCCATGTATTCGGAGTGCCGCGCGATCATTCGCGCGACGCTCCATAATGAATGTATTGACACATTCGCACAAGCATTCGTCAGAAGTAATACGAACACACATCGACATCTACAAGAAGACCTTAGTTGGAAGTTGCGGCTGCTTAGAATCTACAGAAATATTGTTAGAATTCTTCAATAAAAAGCGTGTATTTTACTGTACGTTTTTTCATATTTCTGTCCTACAAGTTTCACTGACCAGTGGCTACACTGTTGTTGACTTGAAGTACGAATGTATGTAAAATCGCGATATCAAGGCACATCGATTGTATTTTATGAATTTGCGTGAACTTGACCATTCTCTTTGAATGTTGTAAACACAAACAGTGTTTTATAAAACATCAAAACCGGAAGTGGCGTCGTCCCGTCCAAAAAAGGTAATGTAACTTACAGCTGTAGGCAAAAAAGTTTGTTTTGAGTCAGTAAATGGTTGTTGTTGTTGTGTGTCTGGGTTGGTTTTTATGTTTTAGCTGGATGCAAATAACATGAAGTTGAATATGTCTATTTACGATTGTTTAAAACACCTGACCGCCAAATTGAACAAAAGAGATCGCCATAATCATCTGTATAAATTACTGTTCCTGGATTAAAAAATGCGGTACCATGAGAGACGAAAAGATAGTCGGCTTTTCGACGAAAGACCGTGAGCGGTTATTTAATAAGAACAAAGATATTCAGAATGGTTTCGGCCCTTTTCATGTCTTCATGAAGAATGGGCGCAAAAAATGCGAGCAACAGAAAAAAGTAACACTTTTAAACAGAAAAAAAACTTCTACAACGCGTTCCAAACACCAGCCATCTCGTTGTAGGCGAATAGGCATTATACATAATGGGAGAGGAAAAAGTCAGTATGAGTTGGGGAGAAAAAAGTTAAATTGCTCCATCTACTCCAGTTGGCCGTGATTAGACCGAATAACATGTTTATCACGCTTTTTCGTTTGTCATTTGCCGAATTTTTTTCGTTTTTCTTCTTTTCCATCTTTTACTTCGTGCGGATATTTGCAAGTGTAATAAGCTCAACACGAAGTCATTGTGGACTTTGACTTGGACACATCGTTTTCTTAATTTTCTTACAGGTAAAAAAGAAAAGTGTTGGAAAAGTCTGGCTTTGATAATGACACGATGAATAACCATCATCATGAAGTTGGCTATAAAAATCCCTTAAATCAGACGATGGTGTCCAAAAATTTGTGGAAAAAAACGGGTCTTGACAACAAGCAGCTGTGTTTTCCGTAAATATATCAAATAGGATTTTTTCGCATTTTCCAGTGAAAACATCAAATTGTACCTAAATTAATTCCATCCACCCTCTGAAACCAACACCAAACATTAAAAAAATAAAACAATTGACAGTATGTTAAAAAGCAATACAGCTAATGAGTGTCATGATAATGCGTTGAATTACCAAAAATACTCATTTTTTGACAATCAAAGTGATTATTGAAGATTGATCACCAATCTAAATTCAAAGAATCGTAAGAATTTTTTCTCTCTTCATGATTCCATCGTTTTCCGCTTTTTCATTCTTCTTCAGATGTTATTTCCCAATTCACGCTTCTATTTTGGCCTGCAAAAATAAAGAAATCCTGCAATAAAACTGCTTGAAATGTTATTTTTCACAGATTTTTTCATTTATTTTAAATTTGATTAATTTGAATTTCAACGCATAGATATAATTTAATATTCATATAATTCTTCTTCATCTTTATGATTAATACTCACGCCATGTTCTTTCTGTTATGGTTGCGATTTCGGCATTTTTCTGTCGAGCTTGATCATGGTTGACCGATTCCATTTCGTTTATATTTAGGTACGTTAATTTAATTTAGCTAAATGTAATTAAACCTTTTAAAATTATTTACAGATCAAATAAAAAATATTCGGTTTATCCAGAGGTGAATACAACAGTGCAGTTTCACATATTTGAGACGAGAATTGAGATGAATCTGAATATAGAACGATGTACGATTTCCACAGCAAATTCAAAACTCGGCTTTATCACGGAATTTCACATGGAAACGAACACATACATATGTACGTGCTTGAAGTAAAGTTGCTTTATTCAAAATGACTAGCGTTTTGTTAGAGAAGTACTTTAAAATAAACTAAACGACGGTCAATAATAGTGCGAAGGTGGAAATCGCCTTATCATAAAGTTTTTTGTTGATTTTTTTCATTTGCATAAATCCTTTTTTGGAATTGATTTTCGACCGTCGAAATGGATTTTAATGAAAAATATAAAAGTTCCACCGATGTTCATTTTCATCCAAAATCTCACTGAACTCAATTTAATTACCCAATTTAAGTACCGCAAAATCATTTTCATTTGAAATATGAAATGCTTGCCTCAAGTTTGGTGCCCGTCTTTTTCTCTCTCTCTCTCTCTATCTCTATGTGTGCAACTGTGTTTCCTCTAATGTAATTTACTCACTATACATTTATTAGCGAATTGTCTCCTCCGTGACACTCATAATAATTATTTTCGAGAATAGAGGAATAATTTATCATATCAATTTTACTTCAATTTATGAATTACATGTAACTATCCTCTAGGTATTGGAGTAAATTTAAAACATAGACGATAGATAACTCTGTCGGTGTATGTTATGTTTGCATGTGTATGTGCTAATATCGGAACCATTACATAATCAATTTTCGCGCAGCTTCGATTAAATCTCCTTCGATGCAAGACAAATTGATACATTTGTTACGTGTAATGAATTTCGTCTACGATGAAGATTTTTTCTCACTCTAATCAATTACCTTTAATAGTCAACTCAAGACCATTTTTTGACATGCAATTCTTAATACAAATCTCTTTGTAATCTCTTTCAAGTTCTTGTCCTTTAGTATTTAATCCAAATAACTTTTCGGTGTTTGGGCAAATTGTTCCAATTTTTATCTCTTTTTTTGGCGACGGTAAATGAGACATTTCTTATCTGTGTGTTACAAGCTATGCCAGAACTTTGCCTCATTATAAATTGTGTGTCACCAAAAAATGGAAAATTAAACGATTTTTCCGAAAAAAAAATCTTGAGTTATTCAATTCATCTTTTCTTTCATTTGGTTCCAACTCAAAGAAAAATGTCAATTTTTCAAACTTCTATTACGCTTTTTCAAAATCCATTTTCTTCACAAACAAACTTTTTTTTTCACAAAATATCATCGAAAGTCACCGTTTTTCACCATCTTGATACAAAATCTTCCTCTAATAAACCAATTGTACATATTTTCAGTGTTTTCTGCTTTCCATTAAAAACATTAAAATAAACTCGAACTAGAATGATACAAATGTTTTTTTTTTTAACCAATTGATAGATCATTTCACATGTTTAACTATAAAATTCAAAACCTTTTTTATCGCTGATTCGACAGCGTAGACTTTTATATTTTACTGAAAATTCGATTTTTTTTTTATTTTTCAATTTTTTTTCATAGATAAAAGTAAATTAGTTGACTATCACAATTTTTTGGAGATTTTGTAGTCACCCATATAAATAGGTGGTCGTATTGGATTCGTTATTAGAACTAGGCGATGTTGTTGTCCGTAGGATTGATGTCGGTGTAACAATTGAAGCTGGAACGATAGCGGTCGGAGGTGCTGCAATTGATACGGGCAAAAATGTCGATGTGTTACGTAATGATGTGGTTGATGAATTCGGTGATAATGGACTGAGATGGTAGAGATGACGGTTCAACGTTTGCGTTGGATTCGCCGGAATTAAAATATGAAGAGTTGAAGGTACATCCGGTATCGGTGACGATGATGATGGTCGGAATGCTTTACCTGAACAAACAAAATATGTGAATTGTGAAAGAAAAAGCCAAATGGGTCATAATCGATAAAACAAATTAGTATACAAATAGCAAAAGTGCATTTCTTTGCACCAAATAGAACAACAGAACTAAAATCCAATTTAAACGTTTGCTTGGAATAGAAAAAAAGGAATTGGAACTAAAATTCATGAAATTCTCATGCTCACAAATAAATTACTTTGGTTTTTTTTTTTCAAAACAAAGTCTAACAAGTAAAAAATGGTAATAATGGAAGTGATTGTAGTAATAATAATGAATCGTTGTAAAACCTTTGCATGGATACATACGTAGATTGTGTGGCAGAGTGTGGTTGTAGATTCCAGTAGCAGCGGCAGCATTGGCTGTTTGATTGGATGGGGGTCGCATCATAGTGCTGTGAAGTGCCATTGTCTGATTGCCATTGTATATATCGGGTGTAACTAAGGCATATGATATGCTGCTAGGCTCTAAATTACCATAAGAACTAGGCGTGTACGTATTATACAAATGCTGTTGCTGTAAATGGCAAAGAATAAAATGAAAATAAAATTGAAAATGGCAATGGTGTTGAAAACAATATTGAAAATGACTTACATTATTCCGATTGGATATACTGGGTATGGATATTGGTGTGGTAAGATCGATATCTGATGTATTTTCAGTGCGTTTATCGGTAGAGTTGTTGATGTTAGTGCCGGTTTTCGTGATGTTGGTGTCATTGTCGTTGTTCATTGTTGTGACAACAATTGTATCGGATGATTGAAGTTTGGTCATTGCATCGACAGTGGTTGAAAGTTCACTGACGCTGGCCGCGCCTGAATTCATTGTACTTGCACTCCGTTTGTGCAATATGATTCGGCCAAACACAATCATGATGGAGCTCAACAGAATCAACACAGCGATGCCGAAAAACAAACATATGTAAAATATTTCGTCGTAATGAGCTGCGGAACAACGGAATTTTTTTGTTAAATTTCAGTATGAAAGAAACGTATTTCGAAAAACAACCATTCTGGCTGGTGAAATGATTTCGATTCAAGAACAACGCAAACAGACACAATTGCATGATTCATGGGCGACAGCATTAAATTTACAGATGATATTGTCTTTTTTCACTTAAAATATTGTAAATGAAATGGATTCTGCAATGAAATGGATTCTGGCCATTATTCAGTTCAGTGTGTACAGTACACGATGACGGTCCATTTCGAATGAGCAGAAACATTTTGTCCAACGACCAGTGGAACGTGAGGTAAGCAAACAGAAGAAGAAAAAATCGAGCATCAAATCATTCTTTAAACATTTAAATGCGACGGACCAGTGATAATGTTATGATTTTTCAACTCATGTTAGGTAGGGTTTAAAAACGCGTTATTTTTTTCAGTGTTTCTTAAAAACGTTTTTTTACAGAGCCGTTACGTTTTTTTCGTTTTTTATCGTTATTTCTGCGGTATTTTGGACTGTCAAAAAAAACACTACAGAAAAATAACGTTTTTATAACACCGTTTGCGGTATTTGTCGAAACGTTTGTAAACCCTAATGTTAGGTCACCAGAATGGGAAAAAACACACTGCATTTCTTATGGATTCGCTATCCGTTCCGACGAAAGGATTTCTCGCCAGCCAACCAAACGAGAACCGGTGAACAATGTGAAGTGTAATTCACATAATACACGGTTCGCTCACAAATTCAGTTTATTTCTCGCTTTCTTTGTCATTTTACTTCCGTTCGCTATGGTAGAGAGCAAGAAGGAGAATACATGCTCCAGCTTTGATTGCATTGTTCTATTTTTGGTGTCGTCATTTTCAACTGTAATACGTGGACAACATGCAAATTTCACACCATAAATTATTAAACCTAACAAAACCCACGCTCGTTGCATCCCGAACAAACGTGTTTTCACCAGGTTCATCTTTACTTGACAGCTTTTTTCACTCATTTCTATTTGTTGTCTCTTTTAAACCACTCTTCTGGGCTTCTCTGGACACTGCTAATGTTTGACTCTTCTCACGCGAAATGAAACTTTTGTTTTGAAATTTCGCTAGTTCCGTCGTATTTGTAATTTTTTTTCGCTGCTCTTTGCCATCATTTCTGTGCCATACTATCATACTTCCAACCATTTTTGTCGTCTTCTGAAGTTGTTCTGGTTTTTTCGGTCATTCTATGACAAATATTACGCTGTTAATCTCTTTCTTACTCAGTTTTTGCTCAATACTTGCAGCTTTTCCTTCATATTCCGTACAGTACCATTTTCCACAGTTTTATCTCTTGTCAGGTGAGTTTTTACTCCCTTTCGCCTATAGTTTGCTATGCTCTTTCAAACTTTGCCATTTTATACACAATATGCTCCTCTTTTCTACGTTTTTTTCCTATGTTTGGAACGAAAAAGCATCTGTCGAAATGTAATTTAGCGAATGAATCTCACACACATAAAACGGTGTGCTACTTGAGCTTTTGTTTAAGCGCCCGGCTCGAAAACTAATTGGCCTAAGCGAACGGAATTTGTCTCGTCGTACATTCTGTCGCTTTTGTATTTCGCGTAATATTTTTAAGCGAGAAAAACGTGCATGCGTTCCATCCAATGAAAAAACCTATTAAATCCATAGAAAATCCCGCGCTGCTGTCGAAAGCAAAATGAGCACCAAGAGACAACAAAGCAGATAGATTTAAGTACACTCTTATGCATCAGAAGTACCTTTTGGCAAAGAGCATATTTTGTTTTCGCGTGTTTTTTCTGTGCCATTCTGTTTGTAATGCATGTCAGTCTAAAATGCAACATCAAACACAAGCTCAAGTGGAAAATATGAACAATGATTTACAGACAAGGCGCAATAAAACGACGCCGAAAATTTATTGAACACGATTTCAACACGTCGTACAAATTAAGTGAACAATGAACATACCGAGAATAAAGTGATACAAAATACCTCCAACCGAGAGCCTCTCTTCATCACATTACTATGGAGAAAAAAATTCAACCAGAGTGGATTTTCAAAGACATGTTTCTTTGATCCCAAATCGAAAACCCTTATTTTCTCTTGAAAAGTTTCGTTTAACATTGAAATTGCCTGTCTGTCTATGGATAAAATCGAAACTTTAGGAGATGAAACCGAAATAAAACAACCAAAGCCAGTCTTGTACTCAAAATTACTGTGAAAAATTAGGAATTTCTCATAAACGTTCTTCCAAAAAAAGACTTTATATGAGTTTTTCAAAGCGCGGAATAGACAACAACAAGATCATACCTTCGGAAAATGATCGCTGATTTTGAACGGAATCGGAGTTTTTTACGTCTCCCAAAGTAGTGGTACTGCTTTTGGTGGTGATCGTTTGTGTCGTATTTGAATCGGAACGTGGTATAGTCCCTTGTAGTTTGGGCGCTGGTGGTATTGCTTCTTTATAGTGTCCATCATCTTCATCGAGCTCATTCTCATAATCGGACTCCTGCTGATTTTGTTCGTCCAACTCGATTGGCACATCAAAACTTTCCAGCAATACTTTTCTCGGTACTATGCACAGCAAAACAAGCAATGAATGTGAGAAAAAGGTGTTGTCAATTACAAATTGTTCAGTTGCAACAAGAAAATAGAGCATAACATTTAATCTTTAATGCTAATCGCCAAAACGGGCGATTATAATCTTGTTATGGACTTTTTCATTTTGCTGTAAAAAAAAAACAACTCACCGCATGTGTAAACCGTTTTGAGGTACATTCGGGAGTCGGGTCGACACGGATTGCCAAATGTTTGTGTATCAGCAGATATGGTACAGCGTCTCCGTCCATGGCACAGTTGCATCACTGTTTCGGTGGCAAACGAGACCAAGCAAGCTGTTGTATTGTTGAAAAAAGGGGAAAAAAAAAGAGAGGAAAAAACGAGAGAAATTAAAACTGATGGTTTTTGAAACAGAAAAACCCGTCGACACACATTTAACCAAGTAAACCCGAGCCATAATTGCACGTTTATAATCGCTATGAAATGTAAATTGTTGTTTTCAAACCGCGCACTTTCATTTTTTAATAACGATCGAAACACGCGCGAGCCGAATTTCACTATTGAAAAGCAACTTTTCGGGCGAGGTTTATCCTCCTCTTCTCGCTGGTCCAAACAAGGATCAGACGAGGAAATAGAGCAAGAGCGAGAGTGAACAAGCAAATTGTTGAAGGCAAGTGAACAAAACCAATCGCATTAGCGAAGTTTTCATTATTATCGCTCGAACCATCGTTACCATGAACCATGTTTTGCTTTACCGCCGTTTGTTTTTTCTGCTCCGTGCATTTGATGCGATTTACATACATTTCAACATCACAAACTCCAATAAAAACATCGACCGTATCTATGAGTAAACAAAAGTTGCTGATGCTTCTTACGTTCGTTGTTGTCTTAAGAGAGAGAGAGAGAAAGATTATTGTAAAATCCGTCCGCTGCCAAACTATTAAAATTCTATTAAGTTTGCCAGATATTTCTATTTATTCGCCATTTTTGTGTTGATGACGTTAATTTTTTGTCGGGTTGATTATGATTTGCTCACTAACTACAACCTCTACGGTTGAGCAACATTTTAATGTGAATTTCGTAGTTGTTACTTTTGAACAAAAATTCCATGGGAAAACATCCAATTCAATTATCGCTACCACAAATTGACGTTTTCAATCAAGTTTCAAAGAGGATTTTCACAACTTTGCAAATCCCGAAACTACCAATTTTTCGATGTAAAACTCGTTTGTTACTCAAATTCTAAATTTCAAAAACCTTTATGGATGATGATCATTCCATTTGAATCATCACCAACTTTTATAATACTATACTAAATTTTCTCCATACTACCTGTTTAAAACAGTTTGAATTAGATATTTTGTTATGATAATTTTGCAACAGTAAAACAACCCACGTACTTTGAGGTAAAACGATGATTGGATCGATTCTTTCGAACAAGAACGAACCATCAATGAGAATTAACAAAATATGCAGTATAAATTGGATTGAATATGTCCGTCGATGTGATGGATACATTTAAATTTCTGAGTGTGTAAATAGCGGATAATCGTTATCTATCAGACAAATCTAGCAAAATTACATACTCCAGTGACTTTTATTGAACTAAGCCCATTTTAGACATGCAATTTTAGGATTTAAATATGTGTAATTATTTTCGTCGAGTTTCCATTAATTTTTATTAGCATGAAATGGTATATTCAGTAATTAACTATTTAGATCGCCCACGTTGATAATTTTGGGACTTTCAGATTTTGGTTTCGGCTCTATTTTTGTGAATATTTTTTTAGGTAATTGATTCATTGTCTATTATGATATGATACTCGAAAACTAGGTAAATTGATGGTTTTACAAAATGAATTTTATCCGATTCTGAAATTGGACGATTAGGAATGCCACGCAACTGATGAAACCTAAATGATGAAAATCAATAATTTTATTATTAACATAAAAAAATTTGTTCCCTCCACATGATTTTTGCTGCCTTTTCTTATTTTACGGTTTTACGGGAGATTATTTAAATTTTTATTGAGTGTACCTTCATCAATGCAAACATAATCAAAAATTACGTGACACAAGATGGGTCACTTAACAATGTCAAATTTATTATTTGTTATTTGAAAAGCAAATATTTTTTCTATTTATTTCTGTCCATATACAAGCGTTAAAAATTCAGAGATAGTGGATAGCACCAGAAAGTGTCACTCTAGAATTTTTAACAATATTCCATAGTAACATCAATCATCATCAATGTAAAAACTGTATATGAAAATGTTTGGCGTATGTTTTTTTTCAATTTAGTGGAGAAAAATTCAAAAAAAATAGATAAGCACGGTTTCCTATTGTTTCTTATGTGCCAGCGTCTACTTCAATAAGAAAAAAGCATTTTCACCATAGTAATATGTCCCAAATTTACGATTGATCACATATAATATTCTGTCTTCAGTGCATTAAGGACTCATTGAGAAAAGAGGAAGTATTTTTTATACTTCATCAAAAGGTTTTTCCAACAAAATTCATTCGAAAAATATGAATTTCCTCAGAAAACCTCTTCGAAAGGAAATGGGTTTTTCAATGAATAAAAACAAAAAGATACTTTATGATAAGATGTTGCTAACGATCGATTATTTCAGTAACCAATTTTTTTCATATATTTTTTTCAACGGCAAAATATATACATATATATAGTTTGAATCATTTTCCTTTAAAACTGAAACAATTTCAATCATATTAAATGGGAAAAATCATTAGGATTTTATACAATAGTCATTCAGAAAAAAATAAATAAAAGAAACATTCAAAACACGTTCAAGATGAAATTCTACAATACATACAACCGATTTTCATTGCAACCACCAATTAATTGAGTGAACGATGTACCAACAATTGTTAACCCTTTGTACGATGGCCTAGGGCGGAATTTGCCTTTGTTTCATAAATCATGATACGCACGACGGTGCGATGTTCATTTTCCAACAAAAGGAAATGGTGATACATTCATTTCGTTTGTGTGTGCGATTCGGGAAAAGTGGAGATGTTAAGTAAAAAGGTGTTAATCGCATTCACATTTGCTCGATGGAAAGTTGGAAATTGAAATGTTCGTCCGTGTATTTTGAACAATGGGGCTGCGAAATATGGAAGTGCTTTGCTTGCGTATCATACACACACATACACCAAACAATGAACAATGAAAATATCTCCGAATGAAGTTTAATGTATAGTTTACGCTTGAGCGCCTTTGAATGCGAACGAAGCGATGAACCCGAGCAGAAGTTGTAATCGAAAATGGCATCCGAGACCATGGTGTATCGAATGGGTCGATGCGACTTACGTGCGAGAACTACTTCAAAATTTGAATAATTTCCATCGAGAATAGCAGTGAGCTCAATGACGAATGTCTCTCACACACAAACACATTTTCTCCGGTATGTTCTTGGTGTGGAACTCTTTTGGCTATAACTCAAGTGTTGAATTAGCTAAAATGCAGGCCAGTTTCGACAATTGGCAAGGACGATGGAGTTGGTTTTTGGTGTTGCAAGTTCTGTGATTCATTGTACATTTAATCGTAATTCTCTGTTTACCTCAAAACTATTTCCGACCGATGCCACAAAACTAGAAAAGTTTTGCGTTCGAGTTTTCGATGTTGTACGACTAAATCCGGTCGGTCAATTGTGAATGCATTTAGAATTGTGCATGTGGTCCGACAATTTCGTTGAATTACGCAATTCCTCTACGTCGACCGATTTTAAAACGTATGCATAATTGGTCCGGAGCCGATGCAAAAATTCAGATAAATTCAATGAAATGAGCAAACAAAGATTATAGCTGAAATGGAGCCCAGGTCAGGATAAATAAACAAAAGTAATCGCTATCAAGCAAGTGGTAATAATGTGGGGAAAGTGATCTGTTTTCGGGCGTTGTTGTTGGATGAAAGCAACCATTGGGCGAAACCCATACAAGAGATAGAAATGAGGCGGCAAGTGTTTGCATGGTTAGTATCAAACCAAACACGATTTGAGTATTATTTGAGTTGTCCTTTTTTGGAGGAGGTGGTGGTCGGAAAAGGTCGACATTGTAATTTTCGTCGTGTGAACAGTAACACCAGTGCGCGTAATGTCATACCATAACATTCATTACACACGCTCCATATTCCCGTTGGTGTGTGACAGTCCACCGCTGCTGCTTCACATGGAATAAATTCTCGAGCTTCGGCTCTATCAGTGTAAGCAAAGGGCTTAAGGCCACTACTTAAAAAAAACCATTTGACTGCAAATGATCCTCAACACCAAACAAAACTGCATACAAAATTTCAATGTGCAAGACGATGCTATCCTCTATAGCGCAACCGAATGTGACGCGACATCCGCAAACACAATGTAATTACCATACCAAAAATATTCAAAATGAAAATATTCGGCGAAGCACAAGCATAAACACACACCAAATTATTGCAAATCTCCGCCTTCGACTATGTCTTTTGGCTTTCCTTTGACATTTTGCTCGTTGGATTTGGCTGTAAGACACACATATAGTAGAAAGAGAGACTAAACTTTCTTCCACACAACCAGTGGTGCATACAAAATCACTCGACCTAAAATTGCATAACACATAGCAACAACAGATGATTTGAATTTTCATTCAAGCGCCTTACTTTTTGGATCTAATCAAAAATTCTTCGCACTTAATTGGCACGTACGATGTCTGCTCGGAATAGTGTGTGTTTGTGTGTGTGTGCGCGCCTCAAGAAGGTATATGTTTGTATGTTTTTCGGCTGATTTAATTATATTTTAATTTGAAACAAGTTTGTTCCCACTCTCATTCTCGCCCAATTCGCAGCTAATTGACGGCGCATGGTGTCGATGTCTATAACCGAATCTCGACTTAAATTAGTAACTTCACAGTCAGTTGAAATGGTACGCTACGGTCTGATTGCTTGAGTTGAGCTTTTCTAAAGTAATGCAATAGCAAATGCGAATACTTACTCTCTTCTTTTACGCCTTGTGGTTGAGTACACTGTATACTCTCGTATTCCGTACGGCCGTAGCTCGCACTGTAGATCGCTATTCGCGAAAATGGATTACAGGTCAGGATAATGACCTCATTCTCACATGCAACTTTACTGCGAAATTCGTCTAAAAAAATAGAAAAAAATGGTTTAAAATGCATTTCCGATTTCAATAGGGTGGTTCAGAATAAGTTTTTATTTTGAGAATTTTTAAATGTAAAAACTATTTGCGATTTTTACCTCAAACATAGAATGAAAAAAAAATTATTTTATTGTGTACATAAATATATTGCCAGAATAACAAGAAGACAGCCAATGACATCTCTAAACCAACTCAGTGAATCATTGAATATTTCGAGCAAATTTTTTCAACCGTATGTGGCTCGACTAATATAATCAACTTTACGGCGGCACTGGCAGCTTCTCTGTACACACACCATAGACCGAGAGTACGAAAATCATAGTATTTTGACAAATTCATCGAGTAACCATTACAAAACATCAATGTATATTGGCTAGTGTGTAGTTATTGCTCACAGTTAAGCTGTTAGTGTCGCCGTAAAGTTGATTATATTGTACTTAAGCCACAGACGATTGAAACAAGTTGCTCGAAATATGCAATGATGCAATGAGTTGGTTTAGAGATGACATTGACTATAATCTGGCAGAAGATCTTTATTCCGTAATTCTTTTTCTCGTTCAAAAAGGTGTAAATAATTCTAAAAATCTCTTTGAGTGGTTCAACTCTCAGTGTTTTACTCACAGGGACGGCATTTGTAAGCATATTCGATGATTTTCCTTACTCCAGGGCATGGATTGCCGCCAAATGACTTGGGAGCCGGTAGGAATTTGCAGTGTGTTTTCTTTTGGCAGGCTTCGATGGCAGTTTGTAGCAACGAATACTGAAAAAAAACGAGAAGAAGAAACACAAAGTAAAAGAGATGAAAAGTTTCTCATTGAAAAAGTTTTAAATTGATTTAACACACAGCAGAAAATTGTGATTAAATTCACTATCAAAAGTGTGTGTGGCTTGATGAATTGGCGTGAATATTTAAAAGTTAGATGTAAGTTTCATCTGATTTAGCGTACAGCGTCCGTTGCATAAAGTATCATAAAGGTGGTGGGAAAAGGTGAGCGTTTTAAGAGTGTGATAAATCGAATACCATTTTTCATGTCGCAAGATAGTATGTGCGCTTTTTCTTCCTCTCTCCCGCTCGCTCGCTCGGAATGTTGGTCGCCGGTGATCAAGTGAAAAAGTCACTTCATCGAGAGCGAAACAACGCAAAAGAAAGAAAAAAAAACACGCGATCTCTACAGCAAAAAGAAGAAGTTCAAAACAATGGCGTTGCTAGCTGAAGGGAAAAATCATTGCCAGCGAACATAAAAAATCAGCAGAAAAATATGAAATATGATACAGTTACGTTCGAAGAATCTTAATAACTTTTGCAAAAGGTAATTTTTCCATCGTACGGTTTTTTTTATATGTGTGTGTATTTCACCACGGACGACAAAAAATCATAAAGTGCAGAATTTTGTCGTTCTTTTTTAAAATACCAACAAAACTCTGTGCTCCTGCTTTGGTAGCGGAATCAAAGTTTTCACTGGCCATAATTTTCTTCTTTGTCTGCATTAATTTCGATGACAAAATTTATTTCGGTTTTATTCCCAGTTTATTTCGGCATGTGCTTTTTGTCCTTTGTGCAAACGTTTTTTTTCACGTTGCACATCGAATAGCGATGTTTTCATCTTTACTCTCCCTCTGCTCTCTCTCTCTTCTGCTCATTTTTCAACTTCGTTTAGCTTCTTTCGGCTTTAAGCTCTCGAGTAGTATTTACCAAGCCACAATTGCCCACCCTCTCTCATTTCACACACATCTCTGGTACAAGTGGTGAGTAAAAATTGTAAATAAATCGTCATCTTTATCGGTAGTTATGCAAGCGCGGTGTGGCTCTGGTTGCCTTTGGCCACTTGAATAAATTTGCAGAGATTAATTTGATCCAGTGCGCGCGCATTTTGCTCGTAAAATGCTCTCTCTTTACGACAGTCAGCGCATAAATTCTAATCGATGTTATCGATGCTATAAAAAAGCATGGTTTTATCAAAAATTGCTTTTAGGACTCTATTAAAGTTTTTCCAAAGTGCATCATAACTAGCGGGATATCAAACTGAACGTAGAGTTGCATAAAATGTATCAGAAGCGGAAGACTAAAGTTGTGAGAATCCAAATCAAAATTCATTGCATCAATTCGTAGAATTTACGACTAGCCAAAAAATTTGGCATAATCCGATTTTGAAAAGTCTTCAAAGTGTATCAAAAACGGGCGAATTTATTGTCCAGTCGATCGACTTGGATTGTGATAAATTGGTTGGCAACCGTTGAATATTTCTATCGATTATGAATGATTTCAATTGTAATTTAAATCGAATCGTTCTCATTTTATTCAGAGGGAGAGAGATAGAGAGACAAAGAGAAAGCTTCCAGCACAATGACCCACATTATGTGCGCTCCACTACTTTGGAGTAGTACACAAACAAAAATACAGTTCAAACTGTCGCAATACGATAAAACGACCGAAGCTCTTGAACGAGATGGCTTTAAAACTTCGTATGTGAATTCCACTAAAGCCAAACGGATTTGCATAAAAGTTGAATCTCTTTCTTTCTTTCTGTGTGTCTTTTTTTTCCGTGTGTCAATTTTTCTTTCGACCGTGGTCTTTTTTATGTTCATCCTCTCACGTTCACTCTCGATGTCGTTTTCCCACTTTCTCTATTCCTGTATTTTAACTCATTCTATCTTGTTTGAACAAATGCATTTGAAATATTATGTAGTGCCACAGTTTTTTCAGACGGATTTTCACATGCAAAATATTCACCACTTATTTCATAATCCAATGTGACAAGGAAAAAAAAGCCCAAACCTCTTTTGTTAAACTTTTTGAAGTTCGTTTTTTTCTGTTCCTAATTTTTCTTTCGTTGCATCATTTCATATGGATTGGCGTCAACGAGGAAAACACATAAAATTGTAATGCATAAAGCGCCGAAATTGCTTTGAAGCTATTATCCAATGAAATTTAAGTATACAACGATTACATCTTTTGGCATAAAACATCATAGAAAATCCACCTTAATTTTTCAATTATTCACTACACCATTGCAAAGGAAGTAACTTCGATGGTTGCAGCACATTGTAGTAATAAAATGAAACTTGGATGTTGGTCACTTAATTTGTAACAGCTTTTCTTCCCCATATAAAGTAGTTTTCGTCCTTTCTTTAAGTATTTTTTTAGAAGAAGAAATTGAATGTTCGAGAATGAAAACGCAACTTCTATCCACAACACATATAAGTGAAACAAAAATAAAAAATTTATTGAAATGAAACAACACAATCGAATTTTTTCAAAGTGTAAAAACAAAAAAGATTTTTTTAAAGTGTAACATCGGTATGTAGTAAGTGTAACAACATACCGATGTTACACTTTAAAAAAATCTTTTTTGTTGTTACACTTTGAAAAAATTCGATTGTGTTGTTTCATTTCAATAAATTTTTTTATTTTCGTTTCACTTATATGTGTTGTGAGTAGAAGTTGCGTTTTCATTCTCGGACATTCAATTATATCTTGGGTATAAACACTTTTTTCTAGCTCATTCAAGTGGTAAAATACATCATTTCGCTGATCTCATCCGGTTGATGCGTGAACTTCAACGCATGTAAGAGACGAAGCAAAGCAAAAGATGAAAAATTAAATTGTCTTCAAATTTGCCAGAACTAATTTATAAGCAATAGAAAAGATTACAGGAAACACTGATATGCGAGAAAAAAAAATCGGTTCCTTTTCGAAAATACTACGGTCACGTGAAATAGCCTCAAAAGAAGCATGTTCATTGTTCATTGATGAAAGTTTACTTTTTCTTAATGAAAATTTTCATGAAAATTTGAATATTGACAAAACGTAGTGAACCTTAACATTCACTTATGTTTTTCTTCTTGATTTTTTACGCGAATGAAACACGAAGTTCTTGTTCGTTATCTAGCTACACGATATTTTGAGATGGATGAATTTATTTCATTCTACTCGCAGCGCCGTAGCTAGGCCGGCGCAATGGGTGCATTGCACCCTCCAAAAATTTCAAAGGTGCAACAAAATCGGGTGCAAAATCGGGTTTCAAAGGTGCAACAAAAGAAAAATTTCGATTTTGCACCCTCCAGTTTTTTTTTCTGGCTACGGCGCTGTCTACTCGCAAGCGAAAACAATGGAATAATCAGAAAAGTTTTCGGTATCGAAAGAACGTCGTAGATAGAGAGATGGTGCGGAATATGAATGGAATTTTAAATGGAAAGATCGGAAACGAAATTGAGTACCTGTGCACCAAACAAGAGTACGTGAATGGAAGAATGCGCATACTTTACAGTGGACAATAGCATCGAATCAAGTGCTATTCTTATGAAAATTTGTCTCGATGCACTAAATGAATTCGAGTCAGCAAAGAGTGTATTTAGGGCAATTTTTGCATGGATGAGTTCAAAATTGTGACTATGCTGAAAATAGCTGAGTTCGGGAAAAATATCTGGACAAATTCAAGAGAAACCTTTTCGTAAATAGTTTAACTTTCCCTACAAGAATTTTGCGATACATTGAGGTTTACGTCGACATGTCGCCGTAAAGCCAAACCTTACAACGACATTCCGCATTGCGATAGGTTCTTCAATGTACAGGTTTACGCAAAATCATTACGCCGACATATCGCATTGCGTAAACCTGTAAATTCGAATTGTATCCAACTTCATAACATTGAAAACATAATTTCAAATGGTTTTATTTAAACTTTTCATGTTGCTCATCGTTGCTAATAAGAAATAAAAACTTATTCAAAATAATTATTAAGAAATTGCAAATTTACGAAAAATAAATAAACAAATAAAAAGATTTTTTTATGATTTTCCAATTGTATGTCGGCGTCTGATCCTTGTGTATATCTTTTTTCAATATAACGAATTCATTGATTTTTCTGCTTGACGCTATCTTCTATCCAAATCGGCCTTTTAGGAGAAAGAATGAAAGAAACGATTTGCGTTACGAAATGGAATTCATTTATAGTGTATTCAAACCGACGACATTTTTCAAACGACACAAACTCCAAATGACGGGCAAATTTGTATGAACCTTGAACAAAGTTGGACCGGAAAATTAGAATAAACATTTGAAATGTGTGTATTTAAATGAGGATTATCTGCTGGCGGCCACAAACATGTTTATTCTTTTTATTTCTTCGGAGAGAACATCGCCTCGATAAAACTTTGGCGACAAACAAAAAAAGCTCGACCCGCACATAGCTTCTTAAATGGCCACCTTTTAAGTTGTCCCAAGATCTTTTGGTGTTACAAATTGATCCAATTGAGAGTGAGGGAAAAAATAGATTGCTCGTTTGTATTAAATCTCGCATTAAGATAAAGTGGCTTGATGCCGGTCAATGCAAAATGCGTTGAAATTTTCGCCCAAGCAAAGAGGATAACATTCGGAACTGTAAGCGAGTTTTCACTTGCGAATTGTCATCCGTATTTCGAGCCTTCCTTTCTGTATCTTTTTTCTACTATTTTTCTTTTTCTTCTTTTATATCTTCCATAGTGGCGAAGCGTTACGACTAGGCGTACCACTACGAACCACTACGTTTAGGGAATTAGTGAATGTAGTACAACGCGTACTCGTAACGCTTCGCCACTAGGATATCTTCTTTGTAGTTCCTTCTAAATTCATATGAGTGTCACACTTTTTCTCAAAAAAAGGTGGTACAATTCTCCAGTAGACTCGTGAAGCTGTGGAAACTTACCTGTAATGCATTGGGCCAGAGACAGCTTTCCTGGTGGTTGCTGATCTCGTTGCTGTGTGCGGTGCCATTAGCGGTGGCATCTGTTCCAGTGACAATTTCAGTGGATGCGGTCGGACACAAACTGTATCCATCTGGGTTAATTTCAACAAAACAAAGTGAAAACATTTAGTAAGGAATTTGTCGGTCAACTAACAGCGGCAATCGGATGAAATGAAGTGGTTGGTTTCTGCAGCACATACTAACTGGAATTTCTTTTATTGAAATATGGAGTCAATAAAAATGAGTGCAATTTTCATTTGCGAACAACAGTGAAAAAAAAATTGTTTACATGAAACATGACACATCTTTCTTCGTTCATTTCCTCACTTTTCTTCTCTTATTTTCGACTTTTTTTGTAATTGTTCGAAACGAAAAGTTTTCGATATGGCAAAACAGCACGATGTTAAACTTTTTTGTGTCACGAACTTGGTTATATAGCGCGCAGTTGGAAAACTAACTTGCTAAATGGATCTCTCGTTCACCGCGAGAAACTGCGAACGAATACAATACGAAAGGGAAAAAAGGGCCAAAAGTTACATTTAGCCCAACACGACACACAAGATACAGTCAATATGAGCACTTGATGGAGTCACGAGATTACTTTCGTTCATTCTTTCTCTTTCCCTTTTATTGTTTTTCATGTATTCGGCTGATTTGATTTCACTTGTTTGTTTCGGAATTGAGTTGAGTTTGCGAGTTTGCGTGAAAATTGAAAGCAAAATGCAACTTCAAAATATCAATGTCGGCCAAACGAGAAGAAGAAGAAGAAGAAGAAGAGATGGAGAACGAGTAAGCGAGAGAGCAATTAGAAAGATCTTAATTATAAATTGCATTATCTTGCGTTTTCACTCGATCCGATTGCTAGCTGAAAAAAGGTGCGTTCGATACAAACCAATGCCGTTCTTTTCATATTGCGCCAACTCAATAGAAATGCTTGTTCCACGCGGACAACCCAACGATACTCGTTCCGAATCGCATGTGGTCTTCTGAAATGTTCGCAGCGTCCCCGACAGCAACGCTATTTTTGGAAACAAGAAAAAATAGAAAGAGAAAACAGAATCAAGAATTACTTCTGTGTATCCGATACATTTTCAACTGATGTTTGCCGATCTCTTTACTCAATTCGTTATTTATTCGCAATAGTACGATACTTGTGTGCATTGCTGTTGATATCGCATTCCGTTCGCATGCTGTTGATATCTTATAAATTGTTCCTAAATGAAAGAAGCGAAAAAATGTCATTGTTTGAAAATAACGTGAATTTTGTCAACAGTACGTATATTCGTATATAAATAAATACATGGTGAAGATTTAACGTAAGGCGTCAAGACGCCCTCTACACATACACTGCTTAAAGCCGTCAAACACAGATTGAAAGTGAACAGTGAACAGTGAACACTGTCATGTACTTGTACACTCACATACACATCGAAAGTTCTCGCTCAAAATGTGTAGTATGACAGTTTTAAGCTAAGCACGTCTAGAGGGCCAATGCCGTTTTTGACTTTTCAAATACCCGAGCTTGATTCAAATGAGAAATAGGATGACGTATTGTGTGCAAAAAAGTCACTCAACCTCATTCGATGGAATTAAAGGTGTTCAATATTTGTGGTTGTTATTGACACCGATATTTAAAGTGGAATTTATGTGCGTTGCCAACATGTTCCGAAGGTGGATGATTTATGTTCGGATCGCGCAGCAGCCTATTCATCGCTCGGATTGATTATTCTTGTCATTCCGGCGGGAAAAGCCTTGGAGCGCAAAAATGAACGTTTATTGAATATTTTAATGGTTAAAAATGCGTTTCGCATACACAAACATGCGATTTTAAAAAGTGAGTGAGGGAGAGTGAGAAAAAAGTGTCTCGTTGCTGGGCAATTTGAATAAAATATACGTGTGTTTGTGCGAAAAGGTCACTGTGGAAAAATTGTGCCTTTTTGTTGCATTTGTTGTTTATTTAAAGCGTCTATCCAAAGAATATGGGAAAGCGACCCGTCACGAGATTGCCCTTGGCGACTTCGTCCACTTTTAATCGCCCTGCCAAACCATCGGATTTCGAAGCTTAACCAACGGAATTACATCGTTTCTTTTCTTGAGAAGAAGTGTGTTTGTGTGATCTATCAAGTGCTATGTGAAATGTGCAATTGACAAGCATGAAAGTATTGTGTGGCATGCTGCCAATACCGTTATCGATGAGAATGTCATTGGCAGTAAATAATTTATCAACGATTGCAATCAATAGACAGATTTGCGTGTTTACGATCCATTCTTACGACCAATTGGTGCTGTTTCGTCTTGACAACTTGATGCAAAAGGTGATAAAACAGCTCTTAAATATTTCATTGCGTGTTGCTCATGTTTGAAGCAGTCGTCTGGCGATAAAAAAAAACGCAGTCACATGAAAGCGTGACTGCGTTGGATTTATTGTGTAATTTGATGGGACAAAACTCAGGTGCGATTACACAGATCATACGCTCTTCTCTTTTCTCCGCAATTTTTACCCATGAGTTCCATGTCTATATTTGGACTTACAGAGTGGGGATTATCTAAATGGGGCGTCGAGCACAAATAAACGGTGGGATTTGCTCTTGATATATTGATATAATACTGTTATTCTTATTGTCGAACATGATTTTTATGGGCCTTTCTAAATTAAGAGTGTTTTATATTATCATTTCATAATTATGAAATTCAGCTTTTTTCCATTTCTCAGCTTCTTAATAAGTAGAATCGGGTTGTTTCACTAATTTTGACGTTCACACTCCTTTTTGTCTTTTTCTTAACTTGATTCAAGAGGAAAAATGAAAGGAGTAATTTTTTTTACATTTTTCAAAAACAAGTGACGCTGATCTTTCCTGAAAAACAATCTTAATCTTTCTCTCCATTTCCCATCATACGTGCCTTAAGTAAACTAGAAGAACAACTGCACTGCAGTTATTCCGTAAATTTATTGCCTAAATTTTATGCTTATAAAACGAGTTAACGCTTGGTTAACTGAGTCTTTTCTGATTATATTTTACATGTGACTTTTATTACATTATACCATTTTTATGGGCATTTGGAATGTGACCGTTGTGCCCGTCATATCGTTCAGTGTGATTGGGGTGATGCGGTGCTCAAAAATTAATGTCGCGTTATAATTAAAATTACATCAAATATGCTTCGGTCTCATTGTGTTTTTTGTTGTTGTTTTCCCAACACAATTTCGGTTGTCTGTTGTTTCAAATCGTTCGGTTGTTTTGTTGTGTGTTTCTATTTTTCTTCTTCGGCTGGTGTGTTTTCATTAGCTTCGAAGCAAGAGTTTGTTAGCAGGGATTAAGTGTCGTCTAAATTAAATCAAATTCATTGCTTTGATGCGCTTTTATTGTTTTCACGACCTATTCCCCCAGTCTCATTGTGGCTGCCGGCAACGGCGGCTGCTGCGGAGATGATGGTGATGGCGACGGTATAGACACAGACACTAAATCATCACATCAAACTGCCGAAATGCTGACCTTTTGTTTGCAAATGAAAAGCCATCATTTTTTCATTGTGCCTTCGGTCGAACAGATGACGGGAAATCACGACACGTGCCAAATGATAGTCCATTTCAACGGCATTTTAACGGTTGCATATAAATCAGAGCTGTGTGTTTTCAATCAACATTTCGCGGTGCTAGCTATGACAAATCTTGCCGCAAAAAAGCCGTTGAAAATGCGCTTACATGATTTACATTTAGTATAGACTAGAGAAGAATTACCCACAAAAAGGACGATTTTCAAACGCACCAAGTAACATTACACAAAAATACGATAACAGATGATACATATTTATTTTCATAATATTGGATTATTAGATGTGTTGATGTTATGCGACCAGAACGGGACGAACGGAATCGACGTCATAGCATGAGAATGGCATTTACAGCTCAAATTCATCGTGGAAGCCCGAACGAGAAAAGATTGAATGAGTGCAGAGAAAGTGATATTAATACCGACCCTACGAAACAACACCAATGACAACGACAACTTATTATCCTTCATATTTACTTAACCGTTATCCTGATGTATAGTGTGTGTGTGCGCGAGAGTGAGCTAGCGCTTACATTTGCCCCTTGCATGTATGTCAGTTGCGATTCGAACTCAGTGATGACGATTCGCTTCTGTTTGTGCTTGTTTATTTGCCATTTAATCGCATGTCAGCCAAGCGGACCGAGGATAAATAAATGATTGCACATGATTTTTAATGTTTTGGTCGTTTGGTTAAGAGCGACTTACATCATGTTTTGTTGTGTGGCATTTCGAAACGACCAACCACACTTCGTTTTTGCTTTGTTTTGCCTGACTTCGCTATTTTCGGAGGTCTCGTCTCTGGCTTCTTCCCCCTTACCACAGCAACGTTCATTTATTAAATCATATTGTAATTGATAAATATAAATGAAACTTGCGGTCATTTCATACGTGCTGAGGCCAAAACTTCGAGCCTCGGTTCAGAAAAGGAAGTCAATCACATATATTGGATACACACACTCAACATCACGAAATTCACAAGAAACACCATGGTGTTTGCATTAAAGATAACATTCTATGCATGACTGATAAAATCTACTCACAGTTGAATCTCTTTCCCATGCGTAGAATCACAAAGAAAGCCCGACACTTTTCACAACACACTTTTCGCACGTTATTAAATTTCCGACTTTAAACGGACGTGGAATAGTGTTTACGTGACATAAACGAAAAAGGGAATCTCTACTCTTACGATGGAATCGTGCAGAAATTATTCGGCCAAAACCAATACAATCACAAGTTTTATTCGCGCAATATGACTTTTATTCAGGGGCTAAGAATCGCACACTCAGTTCGCAGTGCAACTCATTGTAATAAGAGCCACAGCGCTCTGTGCGATACTCTACTCATCTAAAAGAATCATGTGCGCCCCACTCACTCACCAGTCTTCCGCTTCTTCTTCTTTTCGCTATAGCAGATACGAACAAAACGAAGAAGAAGAAGAAGCAGAACATAGTGTGCGGTGTGCGTATAACGTACTGTGCGTATAAAAACTCATTTTTGTGAGACGAGCAGCGCACACGAATTTATCGTCTTTCATTCAAGTGAGTGTGTGCGTTACTTGCAGCGTCCACTCAGTGAGATTCTTAAGCTCTGCTTTTATTCCGTGAAATATTTTTGGTCATTTGGGAACGTAATGAATTTTTCATTGCACAAATCCCTGGTAAATTACCAGTGGTAATAGAAACGAAAATGGAAGCATTAAAAACTAAAATCGGGATATAAATAGGAATCGTTGACAGAAGCGAAGTATTTGATCCAAAAATTGCCCGCTATATCTTTCAAGGTCAAATTGGTCTGAAATTGTGAAATAATTCAACAGATTTTGCTAATTTTTTTCAAACAAAACATGATTCAAGGTAAAATTTTAAGTTTTTCATTTAATTTTTTTGATGATAAATTTTTTTTTAATGCAAATTTCTTTTTTTTATCCAATATTGCTTAAAAATGACAAAAATAATAAAAAAAAGCTAGTCCGCTGTCATAAAACATAGTTCATTTTCTTATCCACAGCGAAATTTTTACGCCGAAATCACGAAACCCACTGAAACTCAGTGTTAACTCTAAAATACGATAGCATCTATCTTATTCCGACAAAAAAACAACAACAATCAATATAAACAATGCTATTGGTGTTTTGAATGCGATACTATCGAATCAATATGTAATTGGCTTTATTCGTCAATATCATGGATTTGTTGTCTAGAATGAGGTCGATGTAATATTGTTGTGTTTCGCTTGTAAAATCCGTTTGTTTTGCATACATTAAGTATATCCAATTTCCGCTGTGTTCAATTCCGTGAAAGTGATCCCGTGTTAGAATTCGAACACCTTTTCTTGTTTGATGCAAAATCCCTTCGATTTTGAATACATATATTTGTCTCACAACTTTCTCGTGCTTGTTGCATCGAATTTAATTTCGCATTCTTCATCTCGGAAACGCGACTGGTGTAAAGTCGATGTTGTTGTT